TTTTACCTAAAACAGTAGGGACAGATATTTTTGTGGTAATATTATCGTGAGACTAGAGAACCTATGGTCACAGAACAGCATAACACTGGGGAGGTCTCTAAGCCTCTCCTAAGTAGGACCTCTGAGATGAGCAGAAATACTTGGAAAGGTATAAACATGATTAACTGTTTTCAAATATAGAAATGTGGCCCCTGAGGTAGAAGGGCTTAGGAAAATAACCAAGGAACTTAGAATTCCAAGTTGTATCAATCTGTTTAAGGATAAAATTTTATTCTCTTATCAGAGTCAAGAGACACAGTCATAGGTCCCTCCTGAGCTGAGTCCATAGTACTATATTTTAGAGTGCCATTTCTGGAAAGAGAAAGCTAGAGATTCCTTCTGCAGAGACTCTGTAATGTCAAAGGAATGCTACCCAGAAAATTTTCATAATTTTCTTAATAAAATCCTAAGAAAATAATTCCTAGCTCTCCACTCCTTTATCTTCTTTTTTTTTTTTTTTTTTTTTTGAGACAGAGTCTCACTTGTTGACCAGGCTAGAGTGAGTGCCATGGCATCAGCCTAGCTCACAGCAACCTCAAACTCCTGGGCTCAAGCAATCCTTCTGCCTCAGCCTCCCCAGTAGCTGGGACTACAGGCATGCGCCACCATGCCCGGCTAATTTTCTATATATATTAGTTGGCCAATTAATTTCTTTCTATTTATGGTAGAGACGGGGTCTCGCTCTTGCTCAGGCTGGTTTCGAACTCCTAACCTCAAGCAATCTGCCCGCCTCAGCCTCCCAGAGTGCTAGGATTACAGGCGTGAGCCACCACGCCTGGCTTCCTTTATTTTCTTTATAGTTCATTCTATCAATACAGAACCTGCCTGGCTGGAATGATTTGATCTTAGTGAAATGATGAGTAAGCAGTATGAGAAATTAGAATGGTCACAGGCTTTGGGTGGGTGAACAATACTGTTTTTATCCTGACTTTGTCCATGTGCTAACTGTGTGACAGCATGATGGTGTGTGGGCATGTGTGCAGGTGTGTGTGTACATGCACACCTGCATGCATACATGCATGGAATAATTATTTAATCTCTCTAAGACTCAGTTTCTTCATCTTTCATTTTGTTTTGATTTTGTTTTTGTCTTTGTTTTTGTTTTTGTTTGAGACAGAGTTTCACTCTGTCACCAAGGCTGGAGTGCAATGGTGTGATTATAGCTCACTACAACTTTAAACTTCTGTACTCAAGTGATCCTTCACCTTGGCCTCCCAAAGTCCCGAGATCGTAGGCATGAGACACCATGTCCAGCCAGTTTCTTCATCTTTAAAATAGAAATGTTAATACTCTTCTTACAGGGATGTTGAGAGACAAAGTTGCTAACACCTAAAAGATAGCAAATGCTGCTGCTATTTGTGATTATTGAAGGTGATGGTGGCTGGTATTTTTTTTTATTTTATTTTATCATATTATGGGGGTACAAATATTGTGAGGGTTACATATATTGCCCCTGCCACCCCTCCCTTCTCCCACCATGCCAGAGCATCAAGCATGCTCAACCTCCAGGTGGTGCACACTGCACCCATTAGGAAGTACATACCCTTCCCCTCCCCCCCCCACCTGCCTGCCACTCGATAAAAGTGTTTTGTTTTGTTTTGGGTTTTTTTGACATTTTGGTGACATTTTATATCTTTGCCTCTCCCTATGAAGGGTTAGAGGTATGCCCTTCCCCTTCACAATGCTCACCACAACCCTAAGATGTGGGTCTCCCCCTGCCCCAGAATCCCTGGTGAACACTACCACCATTTGAGCACCATAGTTTTAATTAGTCAGTACCAATTTGATGGCGAGTACATCCTATTTTCCTGATCTTGTGTCATCTCACTTTGCATAACAGGCTTAAGCTTAATCCAGGTTAGCATAAACGGTGCTAGCTCACTGTCGTTTCTTAGAATTGAGTAATATTCCATTGTGAACATATACCAAATTTTAATTATCCACTCATGAATTGACGGGCACTTGGGTTGTTTCCATGTCCTTGCAATAATGAATTGTGCTGCCATAAACATTCAGGTGCAGATGTCTTTATAATAGAATGTCTTATGCTCTTTTGGGTAGATGCCCAACAATGCTATTGCTGGGTCGAATGGTATTTCTATTTCTAGCTATTCAAGGTATCTCCAAATTCTTTCCCACAGAGGTTGCACTAATTTGCAGTCCCACCAGCAGTGTAGAAGTGTTCCTGTCTCTCCACATCCTCACCAGCATTTGTTGTTTTGGGATTTCTTGATACAGGCCATTCTCACTGGGGTTAGGTTGTAACTCATTGTGGTTTTGATTTGCGTTTATTTGATGATTAGAGATGTTGAGCATTTTTTTATATGTTTCCTGGCCATTATTCTGTCTTCTTTGGAGAAGTTTCTGTTCATTTCCATTGCCCATTTCTTGATGGGGTTGTTTGATTTTTTCTTGTTAATTCTTTTAAGTTCTAGATAGATTCTTTTTATTAGACCTTTATCAGAATTGTAGAGAGCAAACATTTTCTCCCATTCTGTGGGTTGTCTATTTGCTCTAATGATAGTTTCCTTGGCTGTGCAGAAACTTTTTAATTTGATCAAATCCCATTTGTTTATTTTTGATGCTGTGGTGATTGCCTTGCAGGTCTTCCTCAAAAATTCTTTGCCAAGATCAATGTCTGATAGGGTTTTCCCGACATCTTCTTCTAGAATTCTTAAGGTTTGATGCCTTAGGTTTAAGTCTGTTATCCATCTTGAGTGAATTTTTGTGAGAGGTGAGAGGTAGGGATCCTGATTCAATCTTCTGCATGTAGCTAACCAGTTTTCCCAGCACCATTTATTGAAAAGAAATTCTTTTCCCCATTATATATTTTTGTCTGCTTTATCAAAGATTAGGTTACCGTATACTGATGGTTTCATCACTGGTATCTCAGATCTATTCCAGATATTGACACTTCTGTTCTTGTGCTTGTACCAGGTTGATTTAACTATTATTGCTTTTATAGTACAGCTTGAAGTCAGGAAGACTGTTGCCTCCCAGTTTGTTCTTTTTACTTAAGATTGCTTTGGCTATATGAGATTTTCTCTGGTTCCATACAAAGTGAAGAATTATTTTTTCTAGATCTGTAAAGAATGCTGGTGGTATTTTGATGGGGTGGTAATTTCAATTAAGGCATATTTGGTTTTGGTGGCTTCTCTGGTGCACAGCCTTGAAGAAATTTGTGAATTGTGATTGCTAGCTCCAATGGTCATTGCCTATTCTTTCTTCTACCAGATTTATCTTCTGGTAATGATATGTGTACATTCAGACATTCTTTATAAGAGAAACCATCCTTCCTTTATTCCATTTAGTCTCTCCTCTGATTGGCTTAACTGTAAATCTACATCACTATTAACCACTGCTGGTATGTGATTTACCAATAAGGTATTTACTACTGTAGGTGCACTTGTAACTTATTAAGGTAGTAATTGAGAGAGCGAAACTTATAAAGGATCATATTTTACCAATTGGCATATTTTGTGTTTACTGAGGATAAGGAAAAAATAAGAACAAATACTTCTTTTAAACTCTAATTTGTCTAAACTTATGTTTATTTATGAAGTTCCATTTAATAAGAAAATTGTGATCCCCTCAAGGGCAGGAACTGTTTTTTTCTTTTATTATTATTGAATGGAATTAGATCATTTTAGCAAACATGAAAGTGATTCAAGGCCATTTACCAAATGTCATTATTTTTATACCACATTTGTTAAATGTGCACTATGAGTCAGGCACTAAACAACACAGAGAAATGAAATATAATTTCCAATCTTTGATTAAACATGTACTGAGTGAGTTCTTTGCACCAAGGCACTATGAAATGCTGGGGATATATGGTAAATACGACATGAACTCTGTTCCTAAGGAGCTCACAGTTGAAATAAGCACCAAATCCCACATAAGTGGATCAATTAGGAAGCCAAACGAGATTGTGTACTAAATACAGTAGTTTGGCAAAGACCATAAGTCAATAGGAATTGCATGAAGCAGAGGTTAACAAGGCCTGTTTTTTTTAATTTCATCATATTATGGGGGTACAAATATTGTTAAGGTTACATATATTGCCCTTGCCCCCCTCCCTCGCCGAGTCAGAGCTTCTAGCACGTCCATCCTCCAGGTGGTGCGCATCGCACTCATTATGTAAGTATACACCCATCCCCTCCTCTTCCCTCCCACCCGCCCGACACCCAATAAATGTTCCTTTATTTTTTTGACATTTTGGTTTTCTATTTCTAGCTGTTCGAGGTATCTCCAAATTCTTTTCCACAAAGGTTGCACTAATTTGCAGTCCCACCAGCAGTGTAGGAGTGTTCCTGTCTCTCCGCATCCTCGCCAGCATTTGTTGTTTTGGGATTTCTTGATACAGGCCATTCTCACTGGGGTTAGGTGGTAACTCATTGTGGTTTTGATTTGCATTTATTTGATGATTAGAGATGTTGAGCATTTTTTATATGTTTCCTGGCCATTATTCTGTCTTCTTTGGGAAAGTTTCTGTTCATTTCCATTGCCCATTTCTTTATGGGGTTGGCGTGATGGGAAAAGCTAAATGTCATCTGCCCTTGAAGACTGGGGAGATTTGCATAGACAGAGAGTGGCCAAAAGGGCATTACCAGGTGGAGAGAAAGTGAGCAAAGGCCTTAGGAGATGGAAGTGAACATGGTGAGTTGAGAAAATAGTAAGGAACCTGGACTGGCTGGGAGAATGCTGACAAACAGTGGGAAACAAAGTCAGAAAGACAGGGTGAAGTCCCTGGAGTTAGGCAAATGGGGTAAAACCAAGTGAGACCCTGAAGGACTTTGAGGAGAAGGGTGATGTGATAGTTGCTGAGCAGTTCCAGTGGCTCTTATGAACTTGGTGTGGTTCACATGTCCTCAGTGTTTACCTTGTCAGGTTTTTCCCGCCTGTGTCTTTGGTTGGTGCTCTGCTTCCATATTAAAGTCAGAATATGCTTTTTCATTTAGGGGAAGCTCTGGTTCATCAGATCTCTATGACCGGGATGCTGGTCCTGGGACCCCGAAGAGCAGCCGGAACAATGGTATAACCCCAGGCACTCAGAGGTCACCAGCCCCAAGCACACGCAGTGTGACCTCAGTCAGCAGTAGAGTAAGTGCACAAACTTGAAGGGACACCCAACCTCTGAGACTCAACCTCACCACCACAGCATGTCTAGGTTTGAACTCTGTATATCTCAGAATATGTGTTTATGCTGCTTAATGGTAGAAACTTCTTTGTCAGGACTGAACTTCCTACATCCTTAGCTGCTGGCAGAAAACCCAAAGTGAAAAGGAAAGGGAAAGATCAGGTTCAAGGTCAGCATTTGTATGGTGGGGGTTTAAATGGCTATATGTTTTAAAGAAATATAAAAAATTTTTAGACGGCTCTGATTTTGATTCTCCATATTACTTTTTAGAGAAGATATTCATAAGTTGACTGCACTAAAATTTTTCCAAACTTATTTAAATCTGGAGGAGCAGAACCTTGAAATCTTCTTATTATTTTCTTCTCTGTATGTCTGTTAAAATAAGGGCTGAATACATAGTGAAGACTTAAATTGCATTATATATATGATAAATTACACTTGGTAATTTAAATTACACTTTCTCTTTTAAGGGAGAAGATGGATGGAGAAAGTATTTAATAGAAAATATTCTTTTATTAAATATTCTGTTGGAAGTCATCCTTGAAATGAGTTAGCATCTACTAGATTTTTTTTTTTGATTAAGCAGGAAACCATACATATTGCTGGCATCTATATTTTAAAAATCTTTATATATGAACCACAACTTTTTGATTCAGCCAATATTTAATGAGAGCCTACTATATGACAGGCCTTGGTCAAGCAAAGACTTGAAGGAAGTCAAAGAATTAGCCATGCAGATGTCTGGGACAAGGTGTTCCTCTAGGCAGAGACAGTGCTGATATTTGGCAGATACACATGGAGAAGGCTGTTTCACTTACTTATGGCTGGCCTCCATCTTGAATGGTCAGTGCCCTTGCTCAACTAGTTTCTAAAATATTTTTAATGCCTATGGAGAAACAACAGTACAAAGACCGGAGAGGTAGGAGCATGCCTGGTATGTTCAAGGAAAAGCAAGGAGGTCAATGTAGCTGTTGTGAGTGAACAAAGAAGAATACTAGGAAATGAGTTTAAGGAGATCATAGGCCTGGATAGGGCCTTGAAGATGGCTGTATGCACTTCAGCATTCACTCTGATTAAGAAGAGGGAAGTTGGAGGGTTTTGAGCATAAGAGTAACACGATCTGGCTTCTGTCTATGTGGGGTCTTGGGGCTGTGCTGAGAAGCAGCTGTAGGGGAATAAGAGTGGAAGCAAGAAGACCAGTTATGAGGCCATTGCCATGCCCCAGGCAAGAGATTGGGCTTTGAAACAAGAAGATAGCGGTAGAGGTGGTAAACAGTCAGATTCTGTAGATACTTTTCAGAAAGAGCCAAAAGGCATTCAGACAGATTGAGTTACAATAATAAATTCATTTAAACATTTATAGTCTAAATTGCAGTTGCTAATGAGATAAAAGGCATATTTAAAATTTCATAAATATTTATGCTAAGCTCAGCAAGCAAACTCCATTCAATAGCCAGAAAGGTGCATGCACTTCTTTGGCAACCTAAAAAGAAATGATATTAAAATATTTAGCAACTGGTATGGCAGGAGTATAGAGCAGTTGTAATACACATTGGCACAAGGCTGTAGAAGTATCTTGGGTGCTCTTTCATGCCATACAGTAACCTGGATTATAGGGAGACCTGGGGTTGTGGATGAGGGGGAGCACAGGAAAGGGAGGGTGGACTGGGAGTAGTGCTGTTTATCAACTGACAAAGAAGTATTTAAAAATTGTGAACAACTAATACAGCTGTCCCAGTGTGTAGCAGCTCACAATCAGTCTAATAACCAATAAGTTAATCAAGTTTGTTATCAAAATAAGGATTATCTTCCCAAGTAGCATTTGATATCATTAGAGAGAAAATCACCCCTGTCATGTGTTAATACCCTCAAAACTAACCGCCCTACCTGCATATTTCTTTAGGTCTCCCCAATAGAAATTCCCTGCAATTGAGTTGAGAATATGTACATAATAGGCAGTGTCTATGTTGATCTCACTCTTGCATTCTAGCTAGTCTAAGCTGATTTTTAAGAGAAAAAGAGACAAAGAGAAATATTTTCTACTGAATAAAAAGAAAACAGCACAGTAGTTTATGAAACATATTTGCTCTTTCATGATCAATAGAAAGAGTATATAGTGTTAGATTATGTCCAAGGTAACAACTTCTCAATTTCTTCCATATCTTATCATCTCTTTGTTTCAATGTTCTTCTCTGTTTTAGCATGTAAAAAGTAAGTTTTAAAATAGAAAAGTATTAGAACATGAACATCTCTAACCTGTCTTCTATGATGTAACTTGTTAGTTTTAGGTTTGACATCCTCAACCTTCAGGGCATGCTTTGCTTGTTAATGACTGTACAATATTAATTGGATTATTAGTGCTCAATATTAATCATACTCCCAGATCAACTGTGGGAAAATTTGCCATCAACACAATTGCCACTAGAGAACTTGGTCTTGCTTCATTAGAGGTGTTGAAAACTGACCTAAACTAATTTATCAATTTGACCTCTGTCACACTCTTTTGATAAACCTTGGTAGCTATGGCAATTAGAGGAGTTAGGAGCTATATACCTCCCGCTACAGATATTATTGTGGTGGAGAATAATCAAAGACTAAAAACAGTCTATGCTGAATCCGAATTGATTAGCATGTAAAGCAACTGAAAGGCACATCTTTCTGGAGTGAGCTCATCAAAGTTTGTCTAAGATGTGGGCAACAAGTAGGGGATTCCTTCCTTCCTGTGGGACTTTGAAAGGCACTTTTTGATTATTTACAGAAGGAAGAATTGAAAAGTCTCCTTTATGTTTGATCATTATCACACCATGATATTATTTGCTTAGACCTTTAACCTCAGCCCAGTTCTTGAACAGTCCAAAATCAGTTTTTTAATGCTCTTGCAAGCTTGGGATGATGCAATAGTCAAGTCCCTATGGCCACGGGCACAGTTTGGACAGAGTTTTCCTTTATCATATGTTACCATAAAGGCAAGTCTCAGCCTGAATTCTACCACGTGTGCAAGCATTAATAAATGGCAAGCAGACCACACATACACACACATACACAAACACCTGTTCCTGTGATCTGGGGAAGTACCCACTCTTTATCCCTTTGTAAACATTGATAAGCACCAAGCATGTAAGTATCATTCCAACATAGATGTAACCAAACATATTCTGATCAGCCAGCCTTCTAGATGGAAAAGTTGCATGGTCTTCTGTTTATTGGGAGTAGAAGAAGTAAGGGATGGTTGAGGAGAGGGCATATTGAGAGTGAGGAAAAACAAAGGACCATATACAAACAGAGTTCTAAGCCTGAGTGATATGCTGAGGGTGCAAAGCTTGACAGACTCTTACACATAGTTCATACATGATTTGAGGTACCTGTATTATCTTTCTTGCTAACCCTATATTAGGACACTCACTAATTTTGTGAATGAAAAACAATTCAAACACCTTTTGTGGTAATTAAGAAGCCTCTTGGAGTAGAATTTAGATAGGAATTATAGGAATTACTGATAGTTAAGTTTTGGAGTTATATAGACTCCTGATGAGCGTCTTTCAAATGTCAATTAGTTTCTCCTAAAGAGTAATACACATGTGTTTATACTAAATTATATTTATATGGTAGGATTTTAAAGTAACTTCTAGTCATTATAATGTTTTTTCATTTTTACTTTGTGGGAAGGAACATCGTTTTGAAAATTCCATGGGTTTGGCTTCCATTGAAAGCACCTCTGAAGAGCTCAGAAAAAGTCATCGCAGAAATGCTTCAGGCACACCTTCCATAGCAGTGTCTGGGGCCTCCCTCTCCTCAGGTGGGTGTTTACAACATTCCCACTCTGTTGTAAAATAATTATCAAAGTCAGATGGAATTAACTGCTCTGTGTGGCATTAAATGGATGTCCCTTGCCTTAAAAAATAAGTGTCCATTCTTTAACCTATGGCAGTAGGCCCACTCCATGAGAACTGCTTGAAGGTGTACCCAGGTTATGCTTTGAGCCTCTTGCATTCATGAAAAAACCCATTTATCAAGTCTGTACTCTTGCCAGACATCATTGCAAAGTTTCAGAGCTATACCAGACTATCAGTATAAGAATGCAGGAAATACAAATGGTTCCAGGATATGTTTGATATGACAGGCAAGAACACTTTCCCAGAGTTCAAGGAAATCATAATTCAATTGATATAGTGGTCAGAAGTTTCCTATATCCAGACAAATAAATTGTTCCATGATTTAAATAAGAAGTAATTTGTAAGTAGCATTAAGGTGTTAATAATTACTCCTTTTATTTGTGCAGTACATTCAAATATGTATTTTGCTTCATTACCACAACAGGCCTCTGAAGCAGGTATTATTTATGTTGAAATTTTTTTACCTACGTGTAAGGATACTCTTCAGAAAAATTTGTCATAATCATGAAGTTTATGTCCTGTATATAGAATTGAAATCGTGATGAAATCTTCAACATTAAAAAGTTACATGATACCTAATGATAATATTTGCATAAAGCCTAAGGCAGGATTCTGTGCACTGAGATGAGCAGGCCCTTCTAGCCAGCCAGCTCTTGAAGGATTTTCTAAATGTGTGTTGTCATTATATTTTCTAAATGTGTGTGTGTGTGTGTGTGTGTGTGTGTGTGTTTTGCCCAGGAGTAGAAAAGCCGTTCACCTGTTAAATGAAAAATTACAAACTAGCTTAGAAGACAACATCATAGGGTCTACTTCTCCTACTTCTACTCAACAGCTCCTGTCAGGCATTGTGCTAAGCACTTCTGCATTATTTCCTTTACCATTTCAAACTTACAAACTTGATTATTCTTTCCAATCTTTCTCATTTACAAGTAGCTATATCTATCTCAGTAGGGCTTTGGCATAGAACTATTCTGTGGAAATAAGCTGTCCTGACCTGGTAAGCTATCCACAGTATTACTGAGGAGTGTTTTGCTCTGTAACTTATATTATTAAAACTGAAAGCAAGATGTTCTGATGAAAGAATGCTCTGGTGCCTTAAGAAATAGAACACCCTTTCAATTTATCTATACCACTACCTTTTTGTGTGAAAGGAACTTGCTGTATCATTTAAAAATGGCAATTTAGAATTGGTTGACCTGCATTTTATGTCAAACATAAAAACATAGTGAATACTCTAAGTATTGAAATCAAGAATGGTTAATGTCTTATTTTTTCCAAGCTTAAAAACTCATTCTAAGAGTTTAAGTCTAAGAGCAAAGCAGAAGCTTTAAACAGCTTAAAACTTGCCATTTTATGGTATAGCATTTAACCTCTTGTGATCGAAGGAGAAATGAACATATAAGTGTTAGTAATTCAGTCCAGGGCAATTTCAAAAATACCATAAAAATGGAAGCACGTTAACATAAACAGGATGAAGTTACTGACCCTGACTATTTCATTCATGACATTTCCTATGCTCTGTGCCTAAAAAGAATTGAAATAATGTTGAAACATTTGCAGTGACAAAGGAAATCTTCTAACAAAATAAACTGATTCACATTTTTCTTTTTCTTTTCCTCCTTACAGACTGGAGTCGATCTGACTTAGATTTGACTGAGTCATTTACAGAAGACTTAGAGGACACCGTAGGCATAAAAAGCAAATCTGTCCCTGGGGCTTTAGACAAAGACTTGGTAAGTTGGATGTGGAAGCAAGTCTAATAATGAGGAGGAAAGAAGGATATGATCTTGCTCCATCCAAGTGGTTCCACTTTTAGGTGATGATAAGTTGAGACTAAAGTGAGGATATACAATCATCTTCCCCTGTTAGTCTTCACAGTTAACATATAAAAGTAACTGAAAGAATTATTTAGGGAATAAGGCAGCTCTCATGCCAGTGTGGGCTGAAAAACACCACAGCCTAAGGATGTGGGCAGAGTTAAACTCAAGCCAGCAACACGCCAACAAACGCTGCTGTCTATGGATCAGAGTGATGCAGCCCTCAAGCAGGCCATCAAATTCCACTGCCAGAGGGAGCAAGCAGGGCTATGCTCAAGCCATATGGGGCAGCAAATGCTATGCTGCCACTGACAGATCTGAGTGGGATAGCTCCCAAGCCAGCATGGGCAGATAATCATAGTCACCCACAGACATAGCCATGGCTGAACTCTGACACATGCTGCTGCTCACGGGTTTTAGTGGAGCAGCTTGCAAGCCAGGTCAGGCTGACAGTCACTGATACTGACAGAACTAGGTGGGACACTCACTCACTCTGCAACACAGGGAATACCACTGACAACCTCAGGGGAATGGTGAGGCAGGAGAAGCAGGAGAATAGACTGTTCAATGGTCACAGTGCATCCACCCATCTTGTGCTGAGTCAATCCTCCACTATAGGACACAAGTGCACCATCCAAGGACCTCTCCTTCTTTGCACTAAGTAGGAGAGTTCCAAGCGGAAGAGAATAGGTGCACTGCCAACTTATATGTCTTGAGCTAAGAGAAGAAATTTCACATGAGAAGGAACAACAATAAAAACTCTGACAACATGAACAAATAAACAATTTCAATGCCCCCAAAGGACCACAATAGGTCTCCAGCAATGAGCCACAACTTAAAGGAAATTATTGAAATGTCAGATAGAATTCAGAAAATGGAAGGCAAATAAGATTAATAGAATTGAAGAAAAAGATAAAAACCAACACAAAGAAGCCAAAAAATGTTTCAGGACATGAATAAATGAAAAATTCCCAAAGAGTTAGACAGCATAAGAAAATATATAACAGAACTTAAAGAAATGAAAGAGTCATTTGGGGAATGTCAAAATGTAGCAGAAACATTTATCAATAGGCTAACCAAATAGAAGAAAGAATTTCAGAGCTTGAAAAAAAATTTTGAACTAACTCAGTCAAAGATGCAGATAAAAAAATAAAGAAGAATGAACAGTCACTCAGAAAACTATGGGGCTATGCAAAGTGGGCCAAAATAAGAATTGTAGGTATCCCTGAGGGAGAAGAAGAAAAAGCAAAAAACATGGAAAACCTATTTGAGGGAATTATTGAGAAAAACTTCCCCAGTATCACCAGAGATTCAGATATCCAGATATGAGACTGTCATCAAACACCAGGAAGATTCATAGCAAATAAGACATCTCCAAGACACATAGTCATCGACCTGGCCAAAGTCAAAATGAAAGAAAAAATTCTATAAGCTGAAAGAAAGAAAAAATTCTACAAGCTGAAAGAAGAAAGCAACAACTAACTTACAAAGGAAAGCCCATCAATTTAAACATATACTTCTCAGCAGAGACCTTACGTGCCAGATGGGATCGGGGGCCTCATTTTTCTTAAACAGAACAACTGCCAACAAAGAATTTTGTATCCTGCAAGACTAAGTTTAGTAAATGATGGAGAAATAAAGACTACTTCAGACAAGCCAACACTATGGGAATTTGTCACTACTAGAACTGCCCTACAGGAAATACTAAAACTGCATTATATATGGAACAACACAACAGATACTCTCCAGTATAAAAACACTGAAAATTAAAGCTCACAGCTATTATAAAACAATAGTACAAGAGGAAAAACAAAACAAGTTCTCATCTAACATGATGAACAGAACAGTATCTCATATATCAATACTAACACTGAACATGAACTATCTTAATGCCTCACTAAAAAAACATAGACTGGCTGGATGTTTTTTTAAAAAAACACAATCCAAATATATTCTATCTCCAAGAAACACATCTGACTTGCAAGGACTTACACAAACTCAAGAAAAGGGATGAAAACAAAATATCCCATGCAAATGGGAATCAAAAGTAAGCAGGTATAGCCATTCTCATGTCAGATAAAATAGACTTTAAAACAATTATGGTAAAACAAAAAGAGAAAGATGGTCATTATATAATGGTAAAGGGAGTGACTCAACAAGAAGACATAACAATCCTAAATATGTATGGACATGTGTTCCCAGAGTCATAAAGCAAACTCTACTAGATCTAAGCAAAGAAAGAAACAGTAGCATAGTAATTCTCAGGAACTTCAACATCCCATTTATAAAAATTAACAAATCATTGAAGCAGAAAATCAATAAACACTGGACTTAAATGAGACTCTAGAAAAAATGGGCCTAACAGACACTTATAGAACATTCTACCCCCAAACTACTGAATATACATTCTTCTCATCAGCATATGGAACATTTTCCATGATTGATCATACTTAGGTAATGAAAGAATTCTCAGCGAATTCAAAAAAATTGAAAGCATACCATATATCTTCTCAGACCACAATAGAGTAAAACTAGAAATCAATTCCAAGAGAAACACTCAAATATACATAAAGTATGGAAATTAAACAACCTGCTGCTGAACAACCTTTGGGTCAAATGATAAAATTAAGGTGGAAACCAAAAGATTCCTTGAACTGAAAGACAATGGGGACACAACCTGGCAAAATCTATGGGATACAGCAGAAGCAGTCCTATGGGGAAAATTCATAGCTTTAAATGCCTACATGAAAAAGACTGAAACATGACAAATTAACAACCTAATGTCACATCTCAAGGAATGTGCAAAAGAAGAACAAAGAAAATCCAAAGCCAGCAAAAGAAAAGAAAGGATAAAGCCCAGAGCAGAACTAAACAAAATGGACACAAACAAACAAAAAAGCAAAGGATCAATTAAACAAAAATTGGGTTATTTTAAAAAGTAAATAAAATCAATAGAATACTAGCTAGATTAACCAGAAATAGAAGGGAAAGAACTCAAATAAGCTCAAACAAAAATGAAAAAGGAGACATTTCATCTGATAACCACCAAAATACAAAATTTCATCTGTGAATACTACAAAAAGCTCTATGCAAAAAAACTAGAACACATAAAGGAAATGGTTAAATTCCTGGAAATGCACAACTTCTCAAGCTTGAATCAGAAAGAAGTAGAAATCCTTAACAGACAAATAACGAGCAGCAAGATTGAGTTAGTAATAAAAATCTCACAACAAAAAAGTCATGGATCACAGCCATATTATACTATACCTACAAAGAAAAGCTGGTGTCTATCCTGCAAAAATTATTCCATAATGTCATGAAGGAATCCTTCCTAACTCATTCTATAAAGCCAGCATCACCTTGATACCAAAGCCAGGAAAGGACACAACAACAACAACAAAAAAGAAAACTGCAGACCAGTTACCCCTATGAACACAGATGCCAAAATCCTCAACAAAATACTAGCAAACCAAATTCAACAGCACATAAAAAAGATTACACACCATGATCAAGTGGGTTTCATCTCAGGGATGCAAGGATTTTTCAACACATGCAAATTAATAAATGTTTCAACTGTAGCAAATGTTTCAAATGTATCAAATCATTAATAAATGATTCAACACATAAACAGAAACAAAAACAACATGATCATCTCAATAGATGCAGAAATGGATTTGATAAAATCCAGTAGCCTTTCATGAGAAAAACCTTCAGTGAACTAGGCATGGAAGGAACATATCTCAAAATTTAAAATCCATATATAGCAAAGCCACAGATAACATCATACTGAATGGGGAAAATCTGAAAGAATTCCTGGAGTGCTTTCAGTTCCCAAGAACTAGAACAAGATAAGGATGCCCACTGCCACCACTTCTATTCAACACAGTACTCCAAGTCCTAGCCAGAGCAATCAGATAAGATAAAGAAATAAATTGTATCCAAATCGGGAAAAAGGAGGACAAACTATCCCTGTTCTCTGATGATATGATATATTTTTTTTTATTTTGGCATATTATGGGGGTACAGATTTTAAGGTTTCAATAAATGCCCATTTTCCCTCCCTCCCCCCACAAGTCTGAGTCTCCAGCATGAGTATCCCCCAGATGGGGCACATCTCACTCATTATATATGTATATACCTGCCCCCCACCCCCCTCCCACCTGCCCAATACCCTATTACTATAGTACCTATGTGACCATTTAGGTGCTGTTCAGTTAATACCAATTTGCTGGTGAGTATATGTGGTGCTTGTTTTTCCATTCTTGAACTGATTCTTCATTGTCCAGGAGTTCAGTTAAACTTTCCTCATGTGTCTATTTTTCTTAGTGACTTTTGTTCTAGGTCCTGGAGCTTTTGTGGGTTTTTGTGATGGTTATTGAGGTTGTTGTTGGCCCAGCTCGGTGAGTGTTCTTGATGATCCACATCAGAATTCCTCTTCTGTATTTTAGCGATCTCCTGATTTAGGTTGCGTATCGTTTTTAGGGGGCTGTGTCACTTTGGGGTGGCTGTTTCCATTTGGTTCTTCTATTCCTGGTTCCTTCGCTGATTCTTCCCATGTGATCAGTTGGTTTGTTCTTCCTTTAGGTTTTTGTTTGGCGTATTCATCACGCTCTTGGTTTGTCTGACCGTTAGTGGTGTCTGTGTGTGAGATTCGACCACTCCCTGATATAATAGTCAGTGGGGTGCCGTGAAAAGGGCTGTGCCATGATGCCGTCCCTGTCAGTAGGGTGGCACTGCTGGAAGGAAAGGACTATGCGTGATTTTGTGTTCGTGTATATCAGCTCTTGTCTGGCCGAGGCTGGTTGTGAAAGAGCCTGCCTTCACGCCACCACCAATGCGTAGCAGGGGTCAAGAAGTCTGTTCTCTGCTTCCAGGAAAAGTTGTCAGGGCGGGGCGGAATGGTCCGCTCGCCAGAA